GGTTAATGGTATTATTACTGACTGGGAGAGCAGCCTCACGATATTGATGTTACAAAGGAACCACGTCAAACCTTGTGCCATGTCGGGTCGAGGGGCGGCAGGTTTTCCTGCCAATCAATCACAGCTTCAGCTGATTTTTACAGATCACTTCCTGCTTTTTGGTGTTTCTGGGTAAAATCAGCAGCTGATTGTGAAGCTGCAGCCCGACGGGCGTTCCAGCACAAATTGCTTTCTCTTCATAAAACTAACAGCGGGCTTTGCTTTGGTGTGAGGGTGATGCAGATTGACAACCAGGCCTTTTTAAACACTGCCTTTCCCGAAGGTTATTTGTGTTCTTTGTCAGCGTGGCTGTCGGCCGGCTGCACGCTGAGACGGCGCTTGTTAGCTTTCTATTGTTGCAGTGTTTTAACTTTACCCTGATGAGTGGTGCTAATTTATTGCCCACGCTTATTATTTCTGAATCATTTAATCAATCCATCATTACCATCCAACATCACAGCTTTTACTAACGGCTCGTTTCAATAATCTTTCCAAATGAATCGCTGCTCGCAACATGTAGAAGTGGGAATGAAATGAAAAGGTGCAGATTCCGAGATTCTGACCTTGTGAAGGTTTCCGAGGTGTTTTAATCAAGACAAGGAGCGACGGGCGTCCCTTGACTTGTTCAGTCACTCAACAAAATTGAATTGAGGAACTTAAGCTGGTGTAGAATGTTTTTTTATTGGATGGTGCTCCGGTGGCAGATGCAGTCATGGTGGACGGAGATCACTTTTAAAAGCTATGAGAAAAAAAGAATCACACATCCTCCCATATAACAGGGAGAGAAGACAGAGGAGGTCTGGGCTGGAAATGATCCAATCTGTGAGACGATTCAGAAAGATTAAAAAAAACGGGAGCTTTAAGATTTGCAGATCTACGATAAAAGAAAGAATTGTAGCGTAACATTTTCTTCAAGATGCCCCCTTCTGGTCACGAGATGCCATCACAAGCATTATTGCTACTGCCGAGATAAGAATAGCAGATCTGAGATCTTTACAAGAGAGATCAACAAAATGTGGTTCAACTCATGAAAGTTGAATAATTGCAGCTTAAATGCAAATAAACGTACGTTAACGTTCTTTGGCGCCCGATAAGCAGCTTTCACAAGACGGCATTCTGTCAGAGAGAACGTTACGCAGGCGACTTTTGTGGTGAGCAGACTATTAGCTAGGAAACAGAAACCTCGTTCACAGGGAGAGTTTGAGAAAGAGCCTTGTTGTTTCTGTCAGTTTGTCTGGCACAAGACAGAGAGGAAAACAAACACAGAATTTCCAGTTTCCACCAAACAGCCAAATCTTTCTGTGAGGGAGTTCTGCAGAGCAGCGTCATCACTACCAACTGACATAAGACACTTGGCTAAATAGAAGCAGTCCCAGCCATTGCATTAGAGGTTAACGTGATATATGAGTTCAATAATTGATACGGCCCTCGGAGGATTAATAAAACTGAACAGGCCCTTGATTGGAAGAAGACAGCTCCCCATCGTTGTCGTGTAAAATCCGCTGCCTATAGATCTCTGAATTTGTAAGATTATGGCAGATGGCAGTAAAACAAAGCTTTAATTCAGTCAGTGCTGATAAAACAGCAAGCAGAGAGGGAGAAGCTTGGGCTTGACTTTAGTCTTTTTCAAGGGATACATTCAGCCGGTTTACGTCACAATTACCTATTCAACCTGTATTACACAGAGACATGAAGCCGGCTGTAATGGTATATAATGAACGAGCTCTATTCCTGAGCACAATTGCAGAATGGCATCAGATATTCAATGGTCTATTCTTGAACCTTTCAATCATTCAGCGTTTCCATATGAGCTGATAAGACATAAAACCTCTGGTATTAAAACGGGAACACGGTGCTGTAAGAGGTGTGAAGGCTCACAGTCTCCCTGGTGAAAAAACACAGAGACATAGGTGTCGGCAGATTCGCAATAAAGGCTGAGGAATCGCTGCTTTTCTCGGAGGTCTGTTTCCTACAACCCTCTGGGGTCGTCACCATTTCCACTTTCATTCCGAGCCCTCCATGGCTCATGAGACCGCCTGGATTGACGGCCCTCATGCCCTCCTCACACATTCACAGCACAAGTGTGTGTGCACAGCCATAAGAGTGCAGCCATATAGCGCGCACACACACACACACACACACACACACAGTTACATGACATAACGGCAGCACTTCTGTCGCTGCCCTTGGTGCTAAGATCCTCCGAGTCAATATCAGAGTTAACGTGACGATGTAGGATTTGCAAGAAGCTGGTGGTTCCCTGGACGGACGAACGGTAGTGAACACTGGCTTGTTATAGAACACTCTGTGATTACAGTTCAGATTGAAAATGATAAAAAAAGGATTGTGATAGGACGAGGGTCTGGGGAGAAGCCTGTGTGTTGAATCCCAAAGCATCCGCAGCTATTTCGCCTAATTTCCCTGCATAATGATGTCTGGCACCTCACCTCAGGCTTTCCTGCCAGTGGACATACACGAGAACCAGCGCGTACTGGTTATGCCACAGTGGAAGGAGAATTGTGTGTCATGGCTGCCAATTAAAATAAATTGTGGTAGTGAGGGAAGGACCTTGTTTCACCATTTCTCTGTACTGTATCTCCACTGTCTCACTCTCCATCACTGTTAATAATTGATCAAAGTTTGCAGTCTCGGCTTTGATATATCCATGGCAACGGCCTGCGCGAAGAGCGTGCGCGTCGGCACGCAGCGAATGTGTGTGCGTGTGTGTGTGTCTCCTTGTGTGTGGATCTCAGAAGGCTGTAAATAGTCTGATGCTGTCGCCAGGATAGCCAGAGAAACAAGCCGTCTGCTACCACAGGGTATCTGCATCCCTTAAAAGGACAGGCTGGGATTAAGTGTTGAGCTTCATGAATATTGTATGATGTTGAACAAGCAGAGGACAGTGCTTGATACTCCCAGCCCTAATGGTCACAGACTGGTGTGTGTCTGTGTGTGTGTTTGTGTACTCAAGCCCCTGATTGCCGAATCCCGGTCAAACTTTAATGCACGTCTCGTGTTCGACAGCGTCATTAGTACTTTGAGGACGCAATAAAAGTTCCCCCCCGTCAATGATCACAAATTCAAGTGAAGAGTGGCTGCTGCATAATTACACTTCTCCAGCCTTGATCTTAAACAGCGAGCAAACAAAGGGCCAGTTACGCCCTCGTCTTCATCTCTCCGTTAAACAAAGGGATGTGCTTACAAGGTGAGCCGCTCTCTGACCAAACACCTCGTAATAACTGGATGTAAATATCAGAGCTAATTAATCCCTTTTCTTATAATTGCTTTGCTGCCTCTCGGTGGGTAATATCCTCATTACTATTCCAGCCAGGTGACAAACATTCGGGAGGCAGAGAAGAATCCCTCTTTCCAAACACATTGTACCCGGAGCAGGAGAAATAAATTCCCCCCTTGACTTAATTCAAGGAATTAACCAAACACTCAGACAATGTTACACCAGCCTCTTTCAGCTGCTCTTTTCAAAGGATCCGTTCCTCGAGCCGGAGGCGCCACTGACTCCTGAAGCACGAGGAGCGATGTTTTCCAATCCCTATGAAATCTGTTCATGCAGTTGCTTTATCTTTATGTTTGTGGCAGCTACATCTGCAGCTGCCTGCTTCACTACACTTGTAATCAGAGGATGCACACACACACACACACACACACATATATATACACACTTGATCTGTTTATCATTCGATTGCAAAGAACAAGGTGCACGTGAAGCAGAATGGGAACACACACGGATGCACTGTTCTATCAGCTCCGCATACATCAGCCGTATGAATTTGCACACATATTTTCACAGAGCTGAAACCTTATTTGTTTCTGTGCTGTGCTTCAAGAGTAACTGTGTTGCCATGCCAACTCTCTCTCTCTCTCTCTCTCTCTCTCAAACACACACACACACACACACACACACACACACACACACACACTCCCTGCTATTCTGTTTAACAGGATTCCAATGCAGAGCCTTGTACACCAATCAGAATAAAGCTTGTAGCAAATTTCTAACCAGTCCCAGTACAGTTAACTGTTTGGTGCCTCTCTATCTCTCTCTCTTTCTCCTTGCTTCCCTCTCTCTCTCTGTCCCCGGGCATCTGTCCTGCAGCATGATTGATAACGTCCCTCATGAGAGGAGACAGAGGGGATATCCAGTAATTGTTTTCATGTGTCTCCGCTCATCCCTGTCGAGAGAAAAAATGGTTGCCTTCTTTTGAGGTCAAAAACTTTCAGAATAAGAATTAGGACGTGCAGCAACAAGGCACAGATACGAGCTTTTATTTTCTCACATGGAGACAAAGCTTTTTGATTTAAGTCCATCTCAAGTGTGGTGGGTGGTAAACTCTGGGCAGCTGGGGGGGGGGTGAAAACAGCTGGGGGCCGGAAATTGGATTTATAGCTGACATTTTAAAATACCACCATGATTAATGATTGATGAGCAACAAGCAGGAGGTGTGTTTGTTCACCTGGAAGAAAAAGCTGCCCCCTCTTTGTCGAGCAGAGGTTCAGATGTGAGACTCTGGGACAGACAGACAGGCAGGCAGACAGACAGGCAGACAGGCAGACAGACAGGCAGACAG